CTGCTGAAAATTAACCCAGGAAAAGTTCTTAGCTTTTTGGTGGTGTCCTGTACTTCACTTGATTAGAAGCAACTGTGAAACTGCAGCCTTGTCAAGAATGGTTCCTTAAGAAGCAGGAATACCCTTTGCTCGAGATACCCCAGCTCTCCCCACCGCTCCTTCATCTGTTCCACATTGCTGGTGGAGATTATCCTCTCCCCCCTTTCATCCATTTCCCTATATCCATCTGATCAAGTAGAATTAATCTGTTGCACATAAATCACTTAGTTCAGCCAGTTTGACTTTACTGTTGGCACAGGACAAGCGAAACAGCAATATATTGTGTAAGCAGCGTGGTAAAACTTCCAAGAGCCTAAATTTTATGGTGATTCTTTAGTGTAGCCAGAACACGATGAACTTTATGAACCTTAAAAAGGTCTATACAACAAAAAGCACATGTTTGACCAAAGGCAAAAATCTATTAATGGATTCTGAACTGTGAGACTTTTTCTTCAATCCACACTGCACTTAACATTTTTAATTCTAACCAACGTAGTTTTATTCTTGGCTCCCTGTTACTGGACTCGCACACAAGGCCCAGCAGCCATGCAAAGGTTTTCAAGGGCTGCAATTCAGATGAGCCATTTTTAAAAATTTTTGCCAAAGTTCATAATAATGGCAAGTTTTATCTTCAAAGTACATAGAAAAATGGATTTGGGTGTGTATTTCTGAGCATACACACTTCTCATCTTGAGTACTTAAAGCATTGCATTTCACCATCTCCTTCATTTACCTCAATTCTCTGTGCCGCACCATTCCCCCCCCGCCGCCCCCAATATTTCCTTGAGCTTATATCATTCAGCATACGGAACACATTTACTGCTACTTGATGAAAACACACCCTCATTGCATCATCTAGCAGCTTCAGTCAGAACTGTCCAGGCAGATTCTACACACACAAGCCTCTCTGGGTAGCACTCTATGAACTTACCTCACAATGGCCACAGCAGTGCCACACTCAGGAAAGTTCAGGAGGAAATTCAAAGCATGAGAACTCAAGAGCAGAAAAAACAAGAACCAAAAGGCTGACAGAACCCAGACCAAATTTAAAAGAGTATCTGAAATACAGGCTTAACTCTGTTTTCCAGGGCTAAAGCCCTTGACTGAAGCAGGCAGCCCTGCAAGTCTATCAGATACCATGGTCAATGAGCAGAACTCTCAAGACTAGCAAACCAGGTACACTAGCGGCTTGTAACTTTCCACACCCCTTTCCTAACCATATCTCCAATGATAACTTGGTCCACTGACTAAAAACATCAAAAGGTCCAACTATCCAGCTACTCACATCACTTTCCTCCCACACAGTCGAGCAAACTCACCTAAAAGACACAGAATTTGCACTGTTACTTCCCCTCTGCCCCCACATATTTCAGTCACCAGTTGCTGTGAGAGCCTGAGATTTAGTATAGGCTTCTGTCCATATAAATGCACACCAATGAAATAGTTCAAGAACATTTTAAAAAGGAAAAGTTGATCAACAACTTTTATTTAAGCTTTGGGCCACATTTCACCATCTATACAGATTTGCAGGGTTTTACTTTATTGTGCCTACCTACTGGAATCTAGGCATTAGAAAGCATCCACATTCCATTGAAAACACTTTACCAGCCTTCTTAGCAAACTATTAACGGATGTTAAAATGTCACTGGATTTGAAAAAGGGAGAAAATGGACAGAGTAACGAACTATGAAGAATTTAGTTCACTAAGCCTTCTGCACCCTGGCCAAAGTATTTGAAAAACCTCACCAATTACAGGATAGTTTTTACGTGCCATTTGCTTTTCTTTTATGAAAGTGATTAACTAAGTAGTAAATCTGAGTAGCTGTTCCTAAAGTCATACAACTCCCAGGAAGGCATGTAAAATGTCCACCATTTCGAAATGGAGCAAGTGAATCAAGAGACCAAAAGTAGCATTCATACTAGCAAAACAAAAAGAACATAAGAAGTGCTTGGAAGAGTTATTAACATTTACTTATTCAAAGGAGAGGCAAAATGCTCTTACCGTGCTACCACCAGGAACTGGTCTATCTGCTTGTCTACTAGAGGGTTAAAGGCCTCCCAAACTTTTGTTTCAAGTTTTGACTGATCTCTTCCATCATCCTCACCTGGTTGAAAAACAAATTAGAAATGCTTGGTAAGGTTGTTTTAAAATAAAAGTACTTTCTACATGTTTTTACCTCGCAATAATTTAACTGCTAACCCATCTCAGCTACTCTGCCTAACAGGCCACTGCAAAAATTTCATTCACCTGTTTGTCTGACAATTTCAAGCTTGATAGACACAGCAACATAGCTCATCTGAATCGGGCAATCAGATTTTCAAGAACTGTTTTCAAAGGACACATGTAATGGGAAACAGAGTACATCCTTCTCCCAACTAGACAGTCCCTCTTCAGCCCCTCTCCTCAGCTCCTCTTTCTGCTTTAGCTTGCAGCAGTTCCAGGAAAACAGGCACACTCCTAGCCACTCTGAGCAAGCAGAGTAGCTCATTCAACTTGCATCAGCTGCTTTTTAAGGGGGAAATCACGGCATCAGACTCTCTTGCTTTTATTTTCCTGATTCTACACTAACCAAAATACCCTGGAAAAATACAGGAGCTACTGAGACTTTTTTTCTGCTCCCTTTAAAACATCTGGAGATTATCCTTCTCTGAAGCTCCGTGTCGGCCCACTGAGGGAAGAGAATGCCTTTCAAATTAGTTCATCCTCACTTAGGAGGCTTGCCCAGCTGCTGAATAAATACCAGTTTCATGGACAAATCAAACAAGAGTCCTGACCGATTTGTTTGCAGTTCTAACACAAGGCTAATGGTATCAACAAAGCTCCTAAGCAGAGACAGAAGCATCTCACTGCTTTCATGTCTCTGCCCATACAGTCTGGAGAAGGCCCTTCCAACACGGATCACAAGCCTTGCTCTCTCAGGAGAAGCATACCGACAGACCTTTCCCCATGCATTACATGGGTCTCAGAAAGGAGCAATTAGATGGCGATATTCCCCATCTCTCAGTTTTTTCACCCACTTTTAGATCCATGGGGTAGTGCAAAGACAAATCTAAAGTTAGTTACTATTCGGTAACTAGTATTGGTTACTGCTACTACTCCCTTTTCCCTGGGCCAGGGTCCTCGTCATCCTATCGCCCCATGACACAGTGGGGGCAGGCTGAGGTCTCAACACATTCAGGCCAGCAAATTCTTCCTCCTGCCTGTTCTGCAGGTGAGAAGTCTAGGCTGGCAGCCAACACTTGGGATGGGGAGAGGGCTCTGAGGAAAAGGCACCCAGCAATAATGGGCAAATTGATGAGGGGAGACAGCATTTAATTGGCAGTAATTTGGGAGGGGTTCTTATAAGGAAGTGAGGCTTGATTAAAACACAAAGGGCTTTACAGACTTGATAGAAATTTGTGTTTCCCATGGAAATTCTGAAATCTCTCAATAAAAAGAGTGCAAGCTCTGAGAGAGCCAATTAATTCAATTTGTTTCAACAACTTTTATGATTTGGACAAACGCCCACTTACAGACTGGTTTGAGGCATGACTAATTGCATTCAGTGGGCAACAGCTCCAGTCACCAACAAACCAGGGCACTGTTGTACGCGTGACCTGGTAGTGGAAACCTCCACCTCCCGCACCTATGAAAAGTGGCCACATTCAACATGGCCTCTTGACAATTTAAATAAATTATGGAAATTACCCTCTTTTAGTAAGTCTGTTATATCTGCCTGGTATCTGTTTCCAACTCGAATCTCTCCTTTATCAGCGAGTAGGGTCTTTTGTTGAGGATCATATACTAGTGAATAAAAGAAGAAATCCTAAAAATAAAACAAAGGCAAGAAAGTAAACAGTATTATTAGCTTTTACCTTCAGTTTTGTGTACATTCTACCAAGCTTTCATTTCATTTTACATTTGTTTTTATTATCTATACAGAGATTTTAAAATTGGGTGAACAAAAAAATAAATGAACCACCAGTTTTAAAACCCTATGTTAAATGCTGCCACTTTTTGAGGAGAGTATGACAGCTCTCCTCAAAAGCAGACGTTCCCTTAATATACAGTCTTTGAAGTTGAAGTGAACAAAGCTCCTTTTGCACAAACGAGGCTCAGAAGGACCAGGAGATAATTTTTAGTAATATTAGCTGTTTCAGAACACAAAATTGCACTTTCCCACATACTAAAATAGCAGTACCCCATGCTAGTGACTTATTCACACAGAAATATTGGTACAAATTGAAGTGTAACTTCAGACCATTGCAGCCATACCAACAAAACACCCCAGAGAGACGTGAAGCCTCGGACAACCTCTGCTGGACTTGCTCCAGTACGTCAATATCTCTGTTGTGCTGGGACACCCAAAGCTGGACATAGCACTCCAGAAGTGATCTCACATGATAAACTGAGGGGATGAAGCCCTTCCCTCCATCTGCTTGCTACACTCCTGCTAATATAGACCGGGACAGGCTTGGCTTTGCTTGTCACAGGGATACACTACTGACCAACTTTTTGTCCACCACCACCTAAGCCTAAATCACCAGGTTTCCTTCTGCTCGTTGTTGGGAGAGGGGTAGCAGATTTGGCAGCAGCAGTAATTAGCTGCAGGTGGCAATACATTAACTTGTTGCTTTTGTTCAAGTAGATGAGAAAAAGGCTAAAACAGCTGCTTGGCTTCTGTTACCTGGGTACGTAAAATTAAAGCAAGAAGTCATACAGAATGAGAATGTCCTGCCAGGGCAGAGAAAGAAAACAGCTGAAGTTCTAACTACTTAAAACTGCACGGTATAAGTAATTAAACTTTTCTGCATGGATAAGTACTTGGCTATAGCTACTGAGTGACACATTGGAGACTAGGTGTGCTCCATCAAAGTACAGTGTGGGATACGGGGCAGGAAGAGAGGTCTGGTAGGAAATGAAATAACAGACCTTTCATTACCTCCATCTACAGCAGCACCATCACCAGGAAAGAGAAGTGTTTCTGAACAGAAACACAGGATGTGCAATGCACCATTTTTCACATCTCAGGTTTCTGGCTCATCTTCGCTTTCCCCATATTTCTCTGTTGATAGCAGGTACCCAGCTTAAACACATCTCATCTCATGCTCATCTCATTTTCCCTTTCCCTATATTTGTATGTGTCAACAGCACGCAACAAAAATTAGGACAAAACCAGCATCAGTTTCAAGCCCTGTTCATCTTCATGAAGAGGTGGCAAGGGAAAAGAGACTCTCCCAATCTGTCACACAAAGCCCGAAAAAAGAAAGAATTGCAGTGAGTTTCCCCAGTAACATGGCAAAAATTCTGCGAGCTACATACTAGTTCTGTTCCACAGCCTGCACATTACACATATTAATCTAAGACTGATGCTATACAGGTAAGGTCTCCTGTGTTTTCTTTACATGTATAATGCATCCAGCATCCAATTATAGATTTTAAGTGTGTTAAGCATAGTAACTCTGTATTTTCTGCTCCTATTTTAATAAAAATCAGCACTTATCCAGAAAGATATCAACACCTATGGAAGGGAGGAAAAAAAGCCAGAAAAGACCTAAACAAGCCTGCCAAACCTGCTTTGCTACCTAAGAGAGCTACTGCACAAAAAAAATATCACCCTTGCAGCACAGCACAAGAGGCAAGACAGGAATTCACACCAATCGCCTCCAGCAGAAACCATGCCATTTTCCCTTCGTGAAAACGTGAACTCCAAGGGCAAGAACAATCTCATGTCACAGTAACGGGATAAAAATCATAGCTAACACTTGACAAAATGCTGTCCCCACACCCAGCCAAGTCAACTGGAAGGGTTGTCTGTGGTTGGGTTTGGGGTGGAGGGATTCAGCTGCATCTTAAATGAAGGAAATTTTTGACAGAATTGATTCCTACTCCCATAGGCACCAGTGTCAAATTACATCAACCTACCAAGAGAAGAGAGATTCAGAGTATATGAAAACTCATTTATATTACAGCAGTGTAAAGAAATCTGGGTCTCTTGCTCCCTGACATACACAAAGTTCAAAATATTACAATATTTGACAATGTATTGTTGCATAAATATAATGTAGGAAAAGCTTTTGTCTCACAAGCTCCCATGTTATAGTGTTTTATTGGTTCCAGCTCCAAAATACCTAACTGTAGACAAAGTGTATGCAGTCCGACATTAATGCTTTTTGGGTATGTTGCCCAGCAAATACACAAACCAAACACTGTAGTATAGCACCACAGTGGGCCCCACAGAAGGCCAGTTCTACAGGCAACATCTTAACGGTCTTTCTTGGCCAGGGAAAGTCATTCATTGTGGAGGGGTTTTCTCCCATGGGATTTGACTGTTACATGCCCTATTGCTTCTGTTTTATTGATTAGCAGTATGAATTTTCTCTACGAAACAAAACCCATCCTTCTCTATCAGTCTCAGGTCATCTTCTTCTATCTTGTCCAGTTTTGTCTTGCATCAAGCAGGTTCAATGAAAGAATTAAAAGCCTTTGGACTCTTCTCCCCAACCAGAGCCTCCTCAACAGAGAAAAGATGGAAGTTTAGGGGCTCAAGTGTGAAAACAAGACAAGACTGTAATGCCCAGAGGTAATGCAATACAACTACCATCTTCCCCCATAGAATCATGAAATTCAGCACATGCAAACTGAGTGGGATTTCTGAAAACATTAATAAATGCCAGTTTAGTGCCAATGCAAACTATAGCCTAAGGAACGAAGCAGATCCTTGTACACCCTAAAGTGCGTGCGAACTCTTGATCATCTCTATGTGATAAGAACAATTTTTCAGAAGGGTTTCACAACAGTGATGTTCACAACAAAATAACATGGCTCTTCAAAATCCTCCATGCTCATTTTAGCTGTCAAAACTGTGTATGCTGAGTTTGCAGCAGTGAAGAAAAAGAAGGGTTTTCTCTTTTAATTTCAGATCCCAGAAAACACCCAACATGTTTGGAAAAATTAAAATTACCTGCCAAGAGTTAAAATTAAACCATGACTTTCTACTTGTGCAAAGTGTTAGACAGACATATATGCTCAGAGCTTCCCTACCCAAGCCCTTAAGCTACCTGTAGCTACAGCCAAAAAACTGCAGAAGAACTGGAAAAAGAAAACAGGCTGAAAGTGAAAGTATAGTACAGCAATAGTGGTTAGTTCATTACAGCTTGCAAACTTACTTTCATGAAGTTTGGGGGGAAACACATTTTTAACTAGAGAGCATTTTATTTTTAGGGTGGGTACCAAAAGATAGAGAAATGCCAGATATCTGCCCAGCAGGCAAAATTCACACAAGCTTCAGGATATATCTTAGCAGAGCAGTAAAATAGATGGTACATATAAAATTGTTTCCTGCAGAATAGGGAAATGTAATGCTTTTGCCATAACTGGCTATGCCCTTCTCTTGATCTCTGTGGGAATTCATTATCTACAGGAAATTCAGGTTTTCCAGTTGCTTTTTTTCTTTTTCTTCCTATTTCTAACCCCTGCTACAAACCCAATATTGCCAGTAAAAAAGTCAATGTTAGTCCCTCTTCAGCCTGCTCTCCACATGTAATGGAGCAATCTTCCTGAGCAAGATGACAGAGAGAGGGTGTAAGGAGGAAAACAGAGATAACACAATGTAATTTTTCTGTGCTTACTATCTCCCTAAAAATTTCTGTCTACATGTTTAACCTCCTTCAAGGCAGACAGCCTCGGGTTGAAAACCTACTTTTAGTGGTCATAATGTATAAGAAATCAAATGACAGATTCCCTAGAACTGCTTAGGCTTTATTGACAGAAGCCATGTTAAAAACAAAACAAAACAAAACACAACAACCCCCCCCAAACCAACACATCAACACATTTTGAAAGTAAAGAACAGATTAAGAAGGGGGGGGGTGGGCAGGCAGAGAAGAGAAGAAACAGTTCAAAACAATACCATCCAGTGCTAGGAACTCACCAGGCAAAAACTAGCTCCTTTTCTTAATCTCTTTACCCTCCACCCAAGCACATTTGTGTTCCTGAGCTTTTAATTTCTTTACCATCTGTCCAAGTTAGTTTGCACCGCAGCAAAATACCATGCTAAGTGACAGGACACATTCAGGGAACTCTCTCATTCTCTGAAATCTCCAAGTGCCTGCTCAGTTTTAAAAATAACTCACATCACTCATCTTGCATTTTGAGAGTTCAAAAGGATGAAAAAAAATAAATCTCTTTCTATTCCTACATCTGCAACCGAGCAGTTGCATGATGAGAGGAAGGCAGCTCTCTTCTCTGTCTCAAACCTACCTACCTGTAACATCAGTGATAATAAAAATGTGTTGGGAGCAATCGACAACGAACATTACTTAAAAGCTGGGTATTAGTAAATCTAAAATAATTTCAGCTTGATTAACTTTTGCTTTCAAACTGGCATATCCTAGGCTGCTAGCTGGTTACAAGCATTTCTGAATACAACGGCCCTTGTTTGATGCGCTGCCACTTGGCAGCCCTGAGCAGACTCGACATGGTTTTGGTTTCACATTCCAAAGAAAAACCCGACTATTTAATCCCTGTGGTTTGTTTAAAATTCTCTTAAACTAGAGGATCAGATTAAAAATATTCTTATGCTTAAACAAATACTAAAGCAAACTAAAAAAGCATTTAAAAAGAAAGCCAAAATATGAGGGTGACTACAGTACGCTCCTTGCAAAAAAGGACCTGTTTCCCTCTTGTTTCTTAAAGGCTGTAATGACTGTTACTCTACTGTTTTCAATTACAAGATTTCTTCTCTTGTATAACACTTCAATGTTTTCAAATGCAAATATAATGCTTGCAGATGTAGTCAAATACTAATATACTGAAATTCTTCGCTGATCTCCCGAAGTAAAGCTCCCAGATTGTCAAATTCCAAGACTGTCTAACCCAGCTGGCAGCCAGAGCTCTAGCCACAATTAAAGGTATATAAATATACTAAAAGAATTACAGTAGACATTTTTAAAATCCCAAAATACCTGAAAAAGTAAACTCCAAGATTTATATTCTGAATAATGACTAATAGCGCAAGACAATTCAGTTTCAAGTGTTTGGTTGAGGTACCTTTAAAGAGCCAGATTGGGTAAATTTCTGCAGGACTCAAATTAACTGAAAAACAGTTTTTCAAGGATCTAAGTATCTGTGGTGGCATATGAAGGACTACAGGTAAAAACTTTGAACAGTGAACTCAAAAAAACCAGGGAACTGAGCTCCTCAGATCTGAGGCAAGATCAAGCATAAACCATATTAACATAAATCTGTACAATTTCATGATAAAACAAATATCTAGAAATACAGCTTGCTCTCTCTTCTACAGTTACTGCATCTCCCACACTGTCTTGGGGTCATGGGCCATGAACCTCCAGGTCTGAACTTTCAGACTGCCAGGCTGATGAGCAAGTAGGGTTCTCTTTACAGAAGGAGAGGCAGTTTACCATCACAAGGATGTAAACAACAGGTCTGGCCTCTAGATCCACAAAGTTTTGTATCAGAATGAAAACTGCATGGAGCCTAAAGCTTCCCACTGTTAATGCCCAGTACGTGTAGTAATGAAAGAACCACCTTTTCAGAAAACTTGCAAAAAGCCAACAATCTTAAATTGTGCCAGAATAAACTGTTCAAGCTTGACAATTGACAAAATGGTTCATACCTCCCGTTCCAGATATGATTTAAGGGATTCTGTCTCATTTAACAGAGTAACGCTGCATTTGCCTCTAAAAAAAAAAAAATAAAAAAAAAAAAGAGAAACACATTTTATGAAAAAAAACATCTTAAATGCTCATGTGATTCACAAGATGGTATTACTGGAGTTGTACCCAGAACTTAATCTTACATTGAAGAATACTTGAAAAATAATAATACCATTTGTTTTTTGAATAAAAAGCACTGGAAGAAAATAGTCATTACCTAATGTGTGTGGCTGGCAGAGATTCCAGCTGTCGTGAGAGAAACAACTCACGATGTCGTAGCTGATGCTTCTGTTTCTCTGGCAAATCAACCATTTCTGGATTTTCCATCTCTTCTTCCATTTCTCCTAGTTATAAAGAGATAAAATTGATCATCAAGAACAGTGCAAGTATTGATTCTAAGCCAACCAGGATGAACTGCTCCAAAACCTTTGCTAAATAACACACATTAATGAGATTAAATCTAACTTCATCTGAATCCTCACATTTCAGCCAATTGAACAATTAGATAATTAGTACAGATCCTTCAAGTGATGCCTGTGAAGAACTGTAGTTTTTCACCACTGGGATCAAAGCATTCCAGGTACACACAGATCACACTGGCTTACCAAGCTGAAAGTCACACAAATCTACCAGGAAAACAGACACTGAAGACAGCTGCTATGGGAGACCATCACTGCACCATTAGATTCATCAGGAAGAACCTGACACATGATGAGCGAGACAGTAAAAGTCTTTCCTCTTTGCCAGGCATCAGCTATCTTAAACCCTACTCCTCTTTCAGGGTATCACAGGCTGTCCCATTCAGACTTCAACAGCTTTTGCAGGAAATGCCCACTGAAAAGGTTAGTTTATTTATTTAATGTATTTTACTCTCTTCACCCCAACCACAGCCAATAGATCACAGTCACAAGATTAACTGGAATGTAACCAAGTGCCTAAGGCCAGTCTTGCAACCCACGCCCTACCCTACCACACTACACCACACAGCATTCAACTGCAATACTTCTGCATTCCAAAAGCTTGCTTTGAGCTATCCATTCTCCACCCAACCAATTTTTAAACGAATGCCAAAGTAAATGTATGAAATCACATCCACACCGATATACAGCTGATCCAAAATATCTCTAGGCTCCTTTCTCGTAAGAAATAAATTATTAGTATGTTTTGTGTTCATTAGCAAGTACCTGTCAATTATGCAAGATAAAGCTATAAAACGCAAAATACTCCCAAAAAAGCTACAAAGCTTCTCCACGATGGACGGCAAAAGAAAACATGAGGCTTTTTCGTTCCCTAAGAAATTAAGGCAGTTACTGTATTTTCAAAACCATGGCAAAAGTTTACCAGACTAGTAGAATGAGCTGTAAAGTCTCATACATGAATCGTAAAGCTCTAATTTTACAGCAGCAGTACTCTCAAAGAGCAGACTTATCCCTGCAGCTTAATTCAACAGTTGTTGTCACGAAGCATTTCTAGTCAGAAACACATACAGGCACAGTGATGATTTATATACCCTTAAGATTAGCTAACTATAATCCTCATTATTATCCCAAAATAAAGCAAACAGAAAGGAGAGCTCTCCATTTTATAAAAGACTAAAATTGCATTGAGTTTAAAACAGGCCACATTATGCCAAAGGGGATGACAAAAAATTATGTACCCTTCAGATTCCCCACAATTTATCATTGTTTTACTGTCCTGGAAAAGGACCTATGGTTTATATGCCCCTCAGGTAAGCTGCTCCAGCAAGGAAGGAAAAAATAGCAGCATAATTAAACCGGACAGCAACATACAATAGCTCTTATACCACGAGCTGTTAAGCATACAGCAGCATGCACTTACATTTTAATATTTTCCTAGGAACTAGAACACCAAATTTACATTTGTGCCACAGTTTCATGGTTCTTCAATTTATTTACTGAAGTGGATTCTGCTTTAGTTGAAAATTAATATTGTGGCTGCTGACCTACACTATAAATATACCAGCAGCAATCCACAACCAAGCCAGCAAGTTCCAAGCTAGCTTGCCTAACAACTGACGGATGCACAAATGAAAAGGCATTCATGCTTGCACTTAAAACAGTTTTTGGAGAATGTGAGTACTGCACTGTGTAATGCAGGAAAAATACTACAAGGAGTAATCTAAAATACTTAATATCTTCAGGATATTCAACAGCCTAGAGCTTTTAAAAACTACATTTAAAAAAAAAAAATACATCATCCACTATGTGCCCATCAAGTCTACAAACAAGATGAAACCACCCAGCACAACCAAGCTAATCTCGGGAACTGCATCCCTCCAGGTAGGCTCATCTTCCAAGTAGTGTTTTATTTATGTGTCTAGCTTTTGTAATAAAATAAGGAAGGTGGGAAGCACACATTTTCTTCTTATGCCAGCTCTGCTACACACAGCCTCTAAAAAAAAAAAAAAAAAAAAAGGCACAACCACATTTTTTTTAAAAAAAAAAAAAAACAAAAAAAACCCACTCAGACATTTCTACAGGTAACAAACAACTCCCTCCACACAGAGAGGTAAAATTGACATCGTTCCCACAGACAGAGGTAGGAATATTCCAACAAATAAACAAATCTACACAAGCATCTTCCCTCTTTTTTCACAGCCATGATTTATTACTGATGAGAATGAACCTGGCAAACGCGTTCGGAACAAAGGGAAGGAGAGAATACAGGGCTGGATCCAGCACAGGAACCTCCCTGCCTCACTGAAGGCATGCAAAAGTGGCTTTGACAAAACCTGTAACTAATACCACCTCGATGCCTCTGTGCAGACAGCAAAGGCTTAAGTCAGACTGAACCACAACAGGGGCTGGCCCAGCCTCAGGTTCCAGGACAAGCCTGTCTGACACATGGGCATTTCACCGTCCCACAGCTGAAGCACTCACGCTCTAAGTGAAGCAGACTGCATCGTCGAGAACAGTGGCCCCTGAGAAGTAAGGACCATAGTCTTATTAAAAAAACAAAAACAAAAACAACCAAAAAACAAACTAAAAAAAACCACCACACACAAACATAAGAAATCTTTTCAGAAAGACTCGCCTGCATTTTTTACAGTACTGCAGAAAAAGTGGTATAGGAATACAGTAGGTGCAGCACATCGGGACTTCAACGCTCTCATAAATCCTTACTTAAAAATTAATCTCTCTGCTTCATAGATGTGCTTGTGCAGATTTAAAACTAAACATTTAGTCTTAATACAAACAGTAATGTATGAGCTATGCAGAAGTAGCCAGTGGAATGCTGCAAGGAGTGTATTAGATTAAGTATTATTTGATATTTGATGACAGTATCATTAATAGCACATTAACAAAGCTTGAAGGCAACTTATATTGGGAACAAGAGACAGGCAGATTGGACACAAAATGCAAGACTCATGTGAAAGCTAACATATATGGGGAAAAATAATTAGAAAGAGTAAACTTTGAGTTGGCAGGAGAAACCCAAGAGGCAGTAATTGTAATTTAAAATGACTGGGGGTGCGAGATGCGAAATTAAACATCAATATTTGCTAGACACTAGAAAGAATAGCAATTTGCTATAGATCAGATTGGGCTCTCTACAACATCAGAGGTAGAAAGCACTAGCCCCTTCTCTGCATTCTGAGTGTCATACAAGTAGTTACACGGCAGAAGCTGGAAATGCATAAAGGCAAACAAGACATAGAAATTAGGTTCAGAGAGCACACTAGATTGTCCAGCTTGGGAGCAGGTCTGTAGTAACAGAAGAATCAGTGTGTTTATCACTAACAAAAAAATGTAAAGGAAAAAGGAAAAAAAAATGGATCAAAACATTGGGAAACACAATAAAGCCAGTGCTAGTGACCTGCACAACAGTTCCGTTGGTAGCAAAGGAAGCTTAAACTCTTGGTCCTTTAACAGGTCAACTAAGCAGCTTGGAAGGACATTATACAAGCGTTGCATTTGAAGAAATGAACACTAACAACACCACATTCCTTCTGCCAGGTCCAGTTTCAAATGGTCTATATTATGACTCAGCCTTATTAATTTTCTCTCTGCCAAAAACCAGATACCGATTCATAGTGACAGAAAACACGGTGAAAGTTATAACATATAGAAATCCTTACACCTTGGCACTTCACAAGGAGTTTGCCACATTATCAAGACATCCCACTATGATCCCTTTGAAAAAACTTCTTGCAATCATCTTTTGCAGCCACAGCCATTATGACAGGTAGCATACAGAGCAAACAGACGCTATTTTGGACACTTAGCATCTCTTTCATCACTGCATCACCCCCAGAAGAGAGAAATCACAGTTTCCTCTTCTCAGTAACAGCAGAGCCAAAGTGTCATTAGCGGATTAATGAATTTGACTCTTCTTAAATTTGCATGTGTGGTGTTGGAAGAAAATGGAGGAGAAGGGGAAGAAAATGGAAGACATAAATGAAACTAAAAAGAA